GCCTTCGAGCTACGCGAGATCTCGCCGATGGAGAGGTATCTCAGCCTGCAGATCGTGCGTGACAAGCATGCAAGGAAGCTGTGGCTGCACCAGCAGGGCTCCGCCAACAAGTTGCGCAGGCGGCTCATCAACGAAGAGCAGACCGGGCGCACCCCAAAGACTACGGTCTCTGTCGACGCCTACATCGAGCTAACGTTTGATGACAAGGAGGCGCAGGAACGCCAGGAGGAGGAGTACCAGCAGAAGGTCAGCTCGCTACAATTTGCGGCGACGACGACGAGGCCAGACATCGCCTTCGCCTGCAGCAAGTGGAGGAGCGGCCTCATGGTGAGGAGCGACCAGCACTGGCGCGAGGTCGACCGCTGCCTCACCTACCTCGCCAACACTCGTGGCATCGCCTTGGAGTTCGGTGGTGGACCTGAGTCGCTGGAGCTCGTCAGCTATGTTGATGCCGACGACGCATGCGACAAGCAGAACCAGACAAGCATGGGCGGCTACGAGTTCGTCTACGGAGGTGCCGCAGTCTCCTGGTCGAGTCGGCGCATCAAGTGTGCGTCGCTGTCTTTGTGAGGATCTAGGATCGAGCTCAGAAAAGAGAATGTGAATTGAATGATCACCTGGGTACAACACGAGGCTATATATAGGCTCGACACAAGGCAGGTAACCCAGGTGTTACGCAAATGTTCTGAGGGTCGCGAAGCGTCCCGAACAGAACCTTCCCGAACTCGGTAGAAAGCAATTCGGTGGCAACCGAATAAGCTTGAGTTCGGTACACGTAACCTGGTTCGGTGCCTATAACTATAATAACTATAGTAAAGCAACGAACCTAGGAATTCAAGCAATTCATGCATGCAGAAAATAAACCTAAGCTAGGAATAGCGTAAGGAAATAAAAGCAAGCATGAATAACAAGCATAAGCCGTCGTACTCTCAAACGTTCCCCCCTCAAAGCTGGGTGGCGTGAGAGACACCCTGCTTGACAAGATAGTCCTTGAGAGCACGGCGTGCGTTGCCCAAAACAGCTTCGGGTACCCAACTGTCCTCAGTGGGGTTATAACCCTTCCAGCGTATCAGGAACTCGAGGGTCTTGCCGCCGCGGCGCCGATGAGTGAGAACACGCTCGATCTCGTACTCTGGTTCATCCTGTACGAGTACAAGTGGTGGCGGCGGTAGCTGCCGTCCCTGGAACTGTTGGTTGGGGTCCTTGTAGGGCTTCAGTAGCTGAACATGGAAAGCATTGTAAAGCTTCTATGCATCTGGTAAGCACAAGCGGAATGTAACTGGTGTCACCTGTGCCTCCACGAGAAATTGACCACAGAAGCGATGGCGGAGTTTGGATGGTAGGTGAGACAGGTTCAAGTTGCGTGTGTCGAGAAGCACCTGATCTCCGACTGCTACTGAGTGATCTCGTCGTTGGCGATCGGCATACTGCTTCTAGGAGTTCTGCATCGTGGTGAGACGTCGCTGAGTCTTCTCCCATAGCTGCTGCATGGTGGTGACGAAGTCGTGTGCGGCTTGGACGTGTGCCGGTGTGGTTGGTTGCTGTGGTGTGAGTGGTTCTCGTCCGTAACACAGGAAGAAAGGAGTTTTCCCTGTGGCCGCATGCGAGGCGTTGTTGTAAGCGAACTCTAAGGTCGGTAACTGTGTGTCCCAGTGGCTGATGTCGTCTTTGCAAGTTGTGCGCAGTAACTGTTCAACCACCTGATTGAGTCGCTCCGTCTGTCCGTCAGTCTGGGGATGGTATGCTGAAGACATCGCAAGCTTAGTCCCCAACAATCCCATAAGCTCCTTCTAGAACTTACTCGTGAATTTTGGGTCTCTATCTGAGATGAGTGTAGCGGGGATGCCGTGGATGGTGATGATGCGGTCAAAGAAGAGTCGAGCAGTTGCTTCAGTAGTAGCTGTGGCGTTGGTCGGAATGAAGTGACCCATTTTGGAGAACTTATCGATCACTACGAGGATGGAATCATGTCCCCGTGAGGTCGAGGGAAGTCCTGTGATGAAGTCGAGACTAACGACCCACCATGGCTGCTACGGCACGAGTAGAGGCTGAAGTAACCCTGCTTTCTTCTGCTTGCTACTCTTCATCCGCTGGCACGTGTCGCAGGAGGTGACGAACTGCTGCACGTCTGCTGCCATCCGAGGCCAGTAGTAATACTTTTCTGTTCCCGCTAACGTCTTGTTGCTCCCGAAATGTCCCGCGTATGGTGTGTCATAAAACTCCTCCAATAGGATCTGCCGTAGCGGGGCGCTGCTATCCTATAAAGATCCTATAAAAATATTTCAAGCCTTTGAAACTTTCAGGGGAGATTTAGAGGCCAAGAAAAAGCCTTTAGAAATTATTCAGGTACCTGAGAAGTTGGGCAAAGTACTACGGAGCGTAGAAAAGGGTCGTGCGTTCCGTGGAGTTAACATTCTCTCTCCGCAGCGTAGTGCTGAGGCTCCCTGTTGCCCACAGGTGAAACTTACACAGCGGCTTAAAGGAGACATCCAGGCTCAGGAGAAATTATACAAGCCTCGGAAAAATCCTCCTACCCCCCAGGTGAAGTTGGAAAGTGCAGAGTTGGGTATAGGAAATAGGGAAGGTATTCATTTTGATGTACCCTATGATCCTATTAATGAGACCCTCTTTGGCTACTCAGCGCAGCAGAAACCACTACTCCTCGAGGTGTTATGCAATGGGCGACGCCTCCAGGCACTGGTGGACAGCGGTGCATCTCACTCGGTGTGCGACCGCGGAACATTGGAGAAAATTGGAGAGAAGGCGGAGGAGACCCAATTCGCAGCAACAATGGTGGACGGTACAAAGATATAATGCCCGACGACCTACCTGCAGGCGTACCTCCAGCACGAACCCACGAGCAGGAGATCGTGGAAGAACTAGGTGCAAAACCCGTCTCACGTGCACCATACCGACTGAGTCCGACCGAACTGACAGACATGAAAAAACAGATCGAGTATTTACTGGACAGACAACTGATCCGCCTATCCACCTCTCCCTACAAAGCACTAGTTCTCTTCACACCAAAACCAGACGGCAGTTTACGGATGTGCATGGACTACCTCGCACTGAACAAACAGACAGCCAAGAACAAACATCCCATACCGGCAATAGACGACTTACTGGACCAACTGCGTGGAGCAACAGTCTTCTCGAAGCTGGACCTACGGTAGGGTTACTGGCAGATTAAGATGGCGGACAACTCGATCCACAAGACGGCGTTCCGTACGAGATACTTGGTGATGTCGTTCGGACTCTGCAACGCACCAGCGACGTTCCAGGCGGAGATGAACCACATCCTACGACCCCTGCTGGACGAGTGCGTAGTAGTGTACCTGGACGACATTCTCATCTACTCCAAGAACATGAAGGAGCACGTGGAGCATCTGCGGAAGGTGTTCGAGATCCTACGAAAAAACAAGTTCTACGTGAAGATGTCAAAGAGAGACTTCACACTAAAGAAGGTGCAGTTTCTCAGGCACATGGTGAGTGCCGAGGGCGTACACGTGGACCCGCGGAAAATCGAAGCCGTTAAAAAGTGGAAAGTTCTGGAGAACGTGAAGGAGTTGCAGCAGTTCCTCGGCTTCGTCAACTACTAAACCAGGTTTGTGCCGCAGTACGCTAAGATAGTTGCGCCACTGACAGACCTACTAAAAAAGGACACGCCCTTCAAATGGGGTACTCCTCATCAGCAAGCCATGGAACAGCTACAGACAGCACTGACCATAGCGCCAATACTCATCATACCGAACCCCGAGAAGGACTACATAGTTGAAGCAGACGCTAGTGAATTGGCAGTCGGAGCAGTACTGATGCAGGATCACGGGAACGGTTTGCAGCCCATCGCCTACCTCAGTAAGAAGCTACACGGAGCAGAACTAAACTACCCCATTCACGACAAGGAAGCCTTAGCGATAGTCACAGCCTTCAAGGCATGGAGGTGTTACCTAGAGGGAGCCAAGACCACAGTCTATACTGACCACTGCAGCCTCAAATACCTGAAGTCGCAGCCGACGCTTTCACGACGACAGGTGCGGTGGATGGACTTCTTAAAGACCCACTTCCACTACGACATCGTCTACAAACCCGGGCTACACAACAAGGCAGACGCGTTGAGCCGCCCAGGTCATGTAGCAGGCATCCAGCTCGACGGGATGAACCCTCTGCTCAAGGGTCTATTCCAACATGGGTACTCCGTGGACGGCGAAATAGCAACGACAGAAAAACATAAACTGTTACAGTGGGAGAAAGACTTAGCGACAAGGAAGGGTTCAGGAAGGATTTGGGTACCGAATTACGCCTTGCTACGGCAGATCCTATTGGAGGAGTTTCACGACGTACCATACGCGGGACATTTCGGGAGCAACAAGACGTTAGCGGGAATAGCAAAGTATTACTACTGGCCTCGGATGGCAGCAGACGTGCAGCAGTTCGTTGTCAAACATTATATATGTTGCTGTTCTGTAGGCTACAGTGGGTTTAGCCTTAGGGGGTACAATATTCTAGGGTTTCATATTTGTACTCCCATTCTTGCTAGTCAAAACATTCCTCTTTCTTCCCATGATATAATAATGGGTTCCCTAGTGGGACCGTTTCTTCCTAAGGGCCCACCGTTAAAATATTTTTTTTCCTAACCTGCCCGAAGCGCGCTTCGCGCTCTGACGTGCCCTACCCTTTCGCGGCCCCTTAGCGGCCTGCCCTGCTCCTGAGGCCCGTCGCAGCCCCCCCCTTAGCGGCCCCCTTCACGACCCCTTAGCGGCCCCTTCGCGGCCACCCCTTAGAGGCCCCCTTCGCGGCCCTTTGGCGGCCCCCTTCGCGGCCCCGCCCTGTTGCCCGTAGCGGCCCCGCCCCGTCGCTAGTCGCAGCCCCGCCCCGTCGCCACCCGGGTGTCGCCCCTGCCTCGTCGCGACACCTCAGCGGGACCCGTGCGTCGCCCCCGCCTCGTCGCGACGCCTCTGCGGGACCCGCGAGGCGCGGCTCCTGTGCGTCGCAACGCCCCAATGGGACCTGGGCGTCGCCCCCGCTCGTCGCGACACCCCTGCGGGACCCGCCGCGGTGCCCTGCCCTAACCCGCGCCACTAGCCCCTGGAGCAGCCGCCCTTACAGCAGCCGCCCCTGCAGCAGCCGCCCCTGGTCCCTGGAGCAGCCGCCCCTGCAGCAGCCGCCCCTGGCCCCTGGAGCAGCCGCACCTGCAGCAGCCGCTTCTGGCCCCTGGAGCAGCCGCCCCTGCAGCAGCCGCCCCTGCCCCTGGAGCAGCCGCCCCTGCAGCAGCCGCCCCTGGCCCCTGGAGCAGCCGCCCCTGCAGCAGCCGCCCCTGGCCCCTGGAGCAGCCGCCCCTGCAGCAGCCGCCCCTGGCCCCTGGAGCAGCCGCCCCTGCAGCTGCCGCGGAGCCCTCGCCCTGCAGTGGTAGCAGCTTGGCCGTTGCCGCCGTCGTACGCCTGCCCTTCTCGCCACTGGTGAGCACTGCCCTGCTACCGCTCCTGCTAGCCTGCTGCTGCTGCTGTCATGGCTACTCCCGCTGTTCTTACCTTCGATGCTGAGGGTCGTGCGATAGACTTTGAGGTCTGGCTCGATGATCTGCAGCTTTTCCTGCAGTGTGATAGCAAAGACGGTCTATTGCTGTTCGATCTCACGTCTGGTGCCTCTCCTGCCTTTGCTGTCGATGCTGACAGTACTGTTCGCTCACAGTGGACCACACGCGATGCTGCTGCCCGTCTTGCTGTGCGTAGTCACCTGCCGTCCACTGAGCGCGCGCACTTTAGTCAGTACAAGAGTGCTAAGACCTTGTACGACGCTGTCGTTGCGCGCTACTCCTCCCCTGCCTCTGCTGCCCTTAGTCGCCTCATGCTGCCGTACCTTTTCCCTGACCTCGCCGCCTTTGCTACAGTCGCTGACCTCATTACGCACCTCCGCACTAGTGACACCCGCTACCGCGCTGCGCTTCCTGCTGAGTTCCGCGCCCAGACCCCCCCCCCCCCCCCCATGTACATCACCCTCTACTACCTAGTCACCCGGCTCCCTGACTCCCTTCGCTCGGTCAGGGATCACTTCCTCGCTCTCTACCCCACCACCCTCACCGTTGACCTCCTCGAGGAGCACCTCCTTGCAGCTGAGAAGAGCATAGTCGCTGTAGGAGCCTCTCGTGGTGACCCTCGTACCCCTTTCTTTGAGGGGTGCTCCCCCGTTCCCCTTTTGCCCTCTGTTGCCTCTGCTGCTGCTGTCGACCTCGTTGGCACCGAGTCGGTCGACGCTGCGTTTGCCCTAGCGGGAGGCACCGCAAGAGCGGCAAGGGCAAGGGGGGCAAGGGTGCTGGAGGAGCTGGCGGGGGTGGTGGTGGTGGCGGTGGAGGCGACGGGGGGGGTGGGGGTGGAGGTGGGAGTGGTGGCGGAGGTGGGGGCTCTGGTGGCAGCGGTGGAGGCGGAGGCAGCGGCAGCGGCGGCGGTGGGAGTGGAGGAGGTGGCGGTGGCGGCGGTGGCGGCGGTGGCAGTGGCGGCGGTGGCGGTGGCGCTGGTCGGGGTGGCTCCGTGCAGCGGGGAGGCTTCGGTGGTGGCCAGCGTCAGCAGCAGCAGCGCTCTCGTGAGGCCCCGCCACCCCAGCAGCTTCACCAGTGGTACGCTGCGCGTCAGCGGTCTGGGGGTGCTGGTCCCTGTGCCTACGTCCTGCGTACTGGTGACCGCACTGGGGAGCCGTGTGGCGGCTTGCACACCACCCAGCGCTGCTTCGGCCGCCTGACAGACGCCTGGCGTCTCCGGTTCCCTGACGCCACTGAGCTCCCTCGCTGGCATGATCTGCTTAGGTCGGGAGTTGCTATCTTTGATCTTGACTATGATGCTATTCTTGCTGCCATGTATGTTATGTCTACTAGTGATGACGGTGACTGTTACCTGAGTGTTCCGCCCGACCCGGGCGGTGCAGCTGCTGCTCTAGGTGCTAGTGAGTCTGCTGCTCCAGGTGCTAGTGAGTCTGCTGCTCCAGGTGCTGGTGAGTCTGCTCTCTCAGATACCAGGCGTTGCACACTTTCACCCTTGACTCGGGTGCTTCCCGCTCCTTCTTTCGAGACCGCACCACCCTCACGCCGCTCAGTCGGCCGGTTGCGGTCTCTCTCTGGCAGACCCCTCTGGGGGTCCTGTCCTTGCCCACTACTCCACTGTGCTACCGTGTCCAGCGGCCCCGTCTGGCTCCCTGTCAGGTCTTTACCTCCCCTCGTTCTCTACGAACTTGGTGAGTGGTGCTGACCTACAGGATGGGGGGGTTGACCAGTTCACTCCTGCGAGTCAGCGGGTGACCCACTGCACGTGTGCTCGGACGGGCCGACACTTGGCCACGTTTACCCGTCAGCCGGGGTCGAGCCTGTACACCCTGACTACCGAGTCTCCTCCGGTTGCTGTGCCCAGTCAGGTAGCTGCGTCGGGTCAGGTGTTTGCTGCAGCGTCTCGGTCTGGTCCTGAGTCTGCCCCCTGCTCGTGTCGCCTCCTGTCCCACCAGACTCTTCTCTGGCACCACCGCCTTGGTCACCCCTCCCTGCCTCGTCTCCGAGGCATGGCCTCTCGTATCCTTGTCTCTGGTCTCCCCCAGTATCTCCCTCCCCTCCCTCCGGGGCCTGCCCCTACCTGTGTTAGAGATTAAGGATCGAGTCTACGAAGAATAGGAGTCCAAAATTCTCAAAATCGTAGGTCTCAATTTCTGGACAGAAAAGTCGTGTTCACAAGAAACGCCGTCGACGAAAATAGAATTCTCTCAAACTCGAGTATATTGTAGCTATAGACCGTAGCTATATTTCACAATTTGAATCGTGCCAATAGGTGGAGTAAATCTCGAGTTATGATTTTCGGCGCACTAGGGGGTATGCTGCCACAGAGATTAACTCAATCACAAGAGTTCTCACAAAGATCCACAAGTAGCACATACAAGAGTTAGAGTAGCACTAAACCAGGTAGGAGAGAAGAGGAGGACGAGAGGGAAGGTCCCAAGAGAGTCCCCAACCAAGGAAACCCCATGCCACACAATTCCCTTCCCCATAGGCAACCCAACTTTGACATTTGTCCCATTCCCAACCCATGCCATCCACCTCACCCCACTTGGCCACACTTGCCAACCTGGTTTGGCTTCTCCCAACCACATGGCAGCAATCTACAGTGATGGGTTCGAATTTCCCAACCCTCAAAAGTCTGTACCCCTTATGGAGCAAACCCCACAACTTCCCATAGTCGCCGCAACCAAAGTACAGAAAGCATACGAACTCCAACGTTCGTAACTTTCTTGATATTGCTCCGATCGCGACGATTCTTGGCTCGTCGGAAAGCTCTTGAGCAGAAAAATCACTTCAAATATCTGCTCAGGCCAGATCACAATAACACACACTCAAAAAATTCAAACCACGCAAGACACAGATTCTTGCACACGCTCACACCACGCATGCAACGCAAGAATACATGATGGGAGGCAGACAGACGTGATTGCGAATGATAGCATCACACAACAACCTACCTGCGTTCCCTGCGTCGAGGGGCGGCAGCGCGCCGCTTCTCACTCCTCCGAGTTTCCGCCGACAGAGGCTCCGCTGCAGACTCTTCACATGGACGTGTGGGGCCCAGCCCGCGTCCGTGGACAGGGTCACGAGCGCTACTTCCTGCTGGTGGTTGACGACTACTCGCGTTACACCACAGTCTTCCCCTTGCGCCGCAAGGATGAGGTCACTGAGGTGTTGATCGACTGGATCCGCGCTGCTCGTCTCCAGCTCAGGAAGAGTTTTGGCTCGGACTTTCCTGTTCTGCGTCTGCACTCCGACAGAGGTGGAGAGTTTTCCTCCGGCCCTCTGCGAGCCTTCTGTCGTGCGAGGGGCATCCGCCAGACGTTCACGCTTCCGGCCTCCCCACAGCAAAATGGGATTGCTGAGCGCCGCATTGGCATGGTCATGGACGTCGCTCGTACGTCCATGATCCATGCGGCTGCTCTCCATTTTCTGTGGCCGTTTGCGGTTCAGTACACGGCACATCAGATCAACCTTCAGCCCCGGGTCTCCATGCCGGAGACCTCCCCCACTCTGCGGTGGACGGGGAAGGTTGGCGATGCGTCTGCGTTCCGTGTCTGGGGATCTCGGGCTTTTGTCCGAGACTTGTCTGCGGACAAGCTGTCCTCCCGTGCTGTTCCCTGCGTCTTCCTTGGCTTCCCCCCTGACGCGCCTGGTTGGCAGTTTTACCACCCCACCTCGTGCCATGTTCTCCTCCCAGGACGTCACGTTTGACGAGTCGGTTCCGTACTACCGTCTCTTCCCCTACCGCGCTGCCCCCCTCCCCCCCCGCCGCTCTTCCTTACGCCAGGTCCCCCCCCGGTAGACCCCCTCCCCCCTCAGGGTCCTGCTCCTTCAGGTGTGTCTCAGGAAGACCCTCCCCCCTTGGCTGAGCCTTTGGAGGTCACTTCCGACACCTCTGGCCCACCTGAGGGGGGTGACGTTGCTGCTGACGCCCCGGCGGCCTACCGCCGCACACCACGCTTGGAGACCCCTCCGGGGTTCCCTCCGCGACCTTCTTCGCCGCCTCTGCAGCCGGTTACTGTTGACTCTGGTGCTGTTGGGGGTGGTGCTGAGCCTGGGGGTGCTGAGTCTGGGGGTGCGGAGTCTGGGGGTGCTGAGCCTGCGTGTGAGGAGACTGGAGGTCCTGCGCCTGGGGGTGCTGTGTCTGGGGGTGCTGAGCCTGTGTGTGCGGAGTCTGGGGGTGCTGAGTCTGGAGGTGAGACGCCTGAGGGTACTGGGACTGCTGGTGCGCGGCCTACTTGGAGTGGCCGCCTTCGTCCGCGTGTGCCTCTCACCTCACAGCAGCTACACGACTAGTACGGTCGCCGTCAGGGTCGCGCTGCTGGAGCCCGGGGCTCTGCTGCTGGAGGTACTTCTGCTGACGTCCCTGGAGCTAGGAGTGGTGCTGGTACTTTGTCTACTGGAGGTGATGGAGTAGCTGGTCCCGGAGGTGCTCGTACTGGAGGTACTGGAGCTGCTGGGGCTGGGGGTGCTGCGTCTGGGGGTGCCGCTGTTGGAGATACTGTAGCTGGAGACCCTGGGACTGGAGGTGCTGCGTCTGGGGCTGGTGACGCTGGTTCTGGAGGTGCTGGCGCTGGAGGTGCCGGCTCTGAGGCTGGAGCTGCTGGAGGTGCTGGAGGTGCTGGAGGCACTGGAGCTGCTGGAGCTGCCGGTGCTGGTGCGGCTGCGCCGACACGACTGTTCTTCGCTCCGCCATCTCCGTCGTCTCTGCCGCAGCCTGACTCTGTTCTTCGTCAGGTTCTTACCCTCCCGTAGTCTACTGGTCTCCCGTTACATCATGGCTCTCCGCTGCCTGCTCCTTCTCCTTACACTGAGCAGACAGGTAGTCTTGCTGAGCGTCGTGAGCCTGCGTCACGTCCTGTCTCGCCTGTTCGTTCTGGTCGTACCGGTCGTCGTGTTTCTCGTTCGCGTCAGCCGGCTGTCCCCAGCGCACACCTCGTAGTCCGTCGTCCTTCCTCTGCTCCGCAGTCTGCTCCTCTGCCTTCCCCCCCTGCGTCCTCACTACCTGCCGTTCCGGACCCTGAGTCTGACAGGTTTCGTGCTCAGCACCCTACTGTCACGCATACAGTTGTCACTGACCCGTCGTTTGAGTCTACTGCTGCGTCTGCCTTGGTCGCTGAACTTGTTGACTTTGCTGCTGCCTGTCGTCTAGACTACGCCACTAGTCTTGTTGCTGAGTCTGAATCTGTCTGTCCTCCGTCCGTCGGGGGTGAGTGTGCTCTTAGCACGGACGTCCTTGAGGACAGGCAGGAGGAGTTCCAGTGTTTTGCTGCCGCTTTGCCTCACCTTCTGCCCTCGTTGCTTGCCCCTGAGGGAGACCCGGATGCACCAGACATCCCGACTCCGTGCTCTTACGCGGAGGCGATAGAGGGTCCCTACTCCTCTCAGTGGCAGGCAGCCATGGACGCAGAGATGGCTTCCTGAAAGTCCACAGGCACCTACGTAGACGAGGTTCCCCCACCTGGGGCGAACATCGTCAGTGGCATGTGGATTTTCAAGGTGAAGCGGCCGCCGGGTTCTCCGCGTGTCTTCAAGGCACGTTACGTGGCTCGAGGCTTCAGTCAGCGGCAGGGAGTTGACTACTTTCAGACCTTCTCTCCCACCCCGAAGATGACCACTCTTCGGGTGCTGCTGCACATAGCCGCTCACCGCGACTACGAGCTTCACTCTCTTGACTTCAGTACAGCTTTCTTGCAGGGCAGCGTGCACGAGGAGATCTGGCTGCGCCGCCCACCTGGCTTCACTGGGTCGTTTCCTCCTGGTACCCAGTGGAGCCTCCGGCGGCCAGTCTACGGTCTCCGCCAGGCACCCCGTGAGTGGCACGACACACTGAGGACTACACTTGCGACTCTTGGGTTTGCTCCTTCTACTGCCGACCCGTCGCTCTTTCTTTGCACTGACACCTCTTTGCCGCCGTTCTACATCCTTGTGTACGTCGACGACTTGGTCTTCGCTACAGCTGACACTGCTGGACTCGCCCACGTGAAGTCCGAGCTGCAGAAGAGACACACGTGCACTGACCTGGGTGAACTGCGCAGCTACCTCGGCTTGCAAATCACCCGGGAAAGAGCATGGCGCACCATTACCCTGACTCAGTCACACATGGTGCAGCAGGTCCTTCAGCGCTTCGACTTCACGTACTCCTCGCCTCAGGCCACTCCTCTGTCTACTCGCCACTCGCTCTCAGCTCTGCCTTCGG